TATAAGCAATAAAATCTATCTTTATTCTTTTCAAGTTTGTTCCCTGCTTGTTTCTGTATCCAGGTGGGGATGCTGTGCTTTCCTGAGAGTAAACACCTACTTCCTAACTAAAAATAGCAACATCAAACACTTAAATAGTGCTTACTATGGACCAGGCACAGTGCTAAGTGCTGTATATATATTAACAGAGTTAGTCCTCCCCAAGCCTAATGAGGTAAGTACCATTATTAGGGCCATTTTACTGATGAGGAAAATGAAGCATAGAGTTTCCACAGCTAAGGGCAGAAGAGCCCAGAAGCAAACCCAGGCAGTGTGGCTCTATAGTTCATGCTTACAGTTCACTCAACTGCCTCCTACTTATAGCAGGATTGTTGGTAGAGGTAGGAGTTGCCAGGAGATAGTGGCATGTCAGAGTTAACACGGATGAATGCTAGCAGACATTTGATTGATAAGATTTCTTTAAGTAGAGGCTTAACAAAATGAAACACAGAAGAGCTAATTGAGCAACATTGGAGAATTCTGCCCATTACTAATTTTACAAACTATGTGGAAATGATTTGACCAGGGGATAGTTCTCCAATATGTAGACAATCTTGATCTAAACATGATGATTCTCTTGGGCTCTTGTGTGCACATACTCAGAATGGTATTTGGCTCCATGAAACAGAAACCTGATGGAAGGTGACAAACAAGTATGGGGCTCAGTTTTACAGGTGACAAAGGCTAGAAGGTGGGCTCACCAGGCCTAGGACAGCTGCTCAAGGGACCAGGCTGCTTCCCTCTTCCTCCTCAGGATTGTTAGATGAACCCTACCTTGGAGCACCCATCCAAGTTCCAGGCGGAGAGAAGGAAAAATGGCAAAGGGAAGAAGTTGTCAGCTCCATTTTAATCAGGAAAAAACTAGCTTTGCAGGAAGTCCCATCCTAGGTCCACTTCTAAATCATTAGTCAGAGTGATGTCACATGGTCACCTCTTACTGCAAGGGAGCCTGGGAAATTGAAATTTTTAGCTGGCACACTGCCAACCTGAACAAAATTGGGATTCTCTTAAGTAAGGAAAAAGGGGAGACTGGGTATTAGGTAGGCAACTAGCAGTGTCTTCCACATTCAGGGAGAGATGCGGAACTCAGAGAACACTGTATCAGCCTCCTAAAGTATTCTAAGCAACTGAAGCTACAACAATCTAATAGGGAATGCACTCTTGTCAAAGAAATGTAGGATTATGAATCATTTACAATAGCTAAATATTTGAGGTCTTCGGTTTGAAGTAGGGTAAAATATGTACACCAATATTTTTTTGTATTATTCATACAAAACAGAAGTGTAGGGTCCGCTTCTCTTTAGCATCGATCCAATTTGAAAAATCAAAATGTTACCAAGGACATTAATAAATAGTAGTAACAACGGCACTGTGACCAAAGCATCTAGTCAGATGAGTTCATGTGTCAATCAAATAAACAGGCATAGAAATATTTCTAGACATGGTATGAAGCTATCCTATAAAAAGCATTTTATAAATAATATGTGGAAAGTAAGAAAGTGTCCCACTTTGACATCAAATCACACTATTTAATAAATTGTTGCTGGCTATTTCCATATGGGGCTACCAGATCCATATTTCGGACTATAAGATCAATCAAAATGATTAAACAATGAAATTCAGGATACTGCTTTCTTACCAAACAAGGAAAATCCCAGAACAGATGCAGGCTATGCTTCAGATTGTCAACTGACTGCCTATACTCCCATGGAATCCAAAAATTTGAATAGTAAAGTTCGTCAGACACCAATTGCAAATTTTGGTGAAATTTAGTCAGTTGATGGGAGTTTCTTTATTGGGTATATTCTTCATACAGGAAATACTCTCTGAGGAGTTTCAAGTTTTATCTTTTCATTTGAATTATTTTTTAAAAAGTTAATAGAAGCATATTCTAGATCATCTTATAAACGTGTTATTTCACTGTCTCAATTTAAGTTTACAAATATGAAGGCACCAAGAAACATTACTTTTATTGTCTCAAGTTAATGATAATAGAAGCGAATGGGACTTCATGCACACATGTGGCATACAGGTCAAATGTCTGGATAAGGACATGCGTAAGAACTGCAGAAATCTCACTGAGAAAAGTGATGGGAGAATTGAGTCAACCCTTGGCTGGTGGGGGAGGCAAACAAACTCAAATGAACCTGCCATGGAGCAGCCACCACCATATTCATGATTTGTGCACGACTTTAGATTTTAAAAAACATTATTAGCCACATTAAATTAATGGTGTTCATTTGAATGTAATGGTTTTGCTATTTTGTTTGTATTTAATTTGTAAAGATGTTTGGTTTTATAGTTGTATAATGGCTGTAAACATAAGGAGTTTAGTCCTATTTTACTTTTATACATATTTAAGTAACATTATAATCAAAACAATTTAATTATATACTGCAGTTTCAAGAGATTGTCTTTCCTTTAAAAAGAGTCTCTGCACTACCCAAGTCTGAGAAACACTTTTCTACAGCTTTCTCTCTGATGGAAAAAGAGGTGACGCCATTACTTCCAAGCCAAATTCATACTCAGTTACAGGTAGGTGAAGAAATACCTTACAGGTGCAATCATCTCCAACTTTTTGGATTAGTAATATTGTTTAATGGATGTCTTATTGTCTGCAGAAATAATATTTACAAAAATCTAAACTTAAGTTTCTGTGATCCTTTTTAAAAAAAATAAATTATAATTCTCTTGAGTTGGAAGTTCTTAGAAATTCTCTAGTCTAATCACCATTTTGGGGCACAAATGCATAGAACTGTAAAATCCCCCACAGATAGCTGCCCAGGCTGTGCTTGGGCAAGGCTGAGAGGGGCTTTTGAATATAGCGATGCCTACCATGTGATGCTTGGGGTGACTCGTCCCCAGGACGAAAGTCTCCTCTGGAATGTTTTGCTGAGTGGATATTTAACGGAAATTAGTTAGGAGGCTGAGTCAGTGTGAGGTCAGCACGGTGCAGAGTGGAGACTGTAGCCAGGGATGCTGGAGCCCAGTAGCAGACAGGGCTCTGAGCCCGTACACCCTTTGGAAAATCTGCAGAAATCCTGGGAGAGATTTAGACTCTTACAGGGAACTTGGGTTTAAGGCAACGGTTTCCGGCCCTCGGCATCTGGAGAGCGCCCTCGGACTCCCATCCCGCACGTCAGGTGGGACTCCTGAGCTCCTTGAACCACCATTACAAGCACATCCACTATTTGTTTGATTTTCAAACTAGATGCAGAAGATGCCAAAAATGACTGTTTTTATCAACGATCAGTAACATGATAACTAATTTTCTTTTAGGTCCTCCAAAAGTTACTAACTGGCAAAACCAAAGTTTCTGCTGTCCTTTCTCCCAAGAAAACACTTTCAATGGGACATTCATGGCCTTCAAATGCCATTTGACCATCCGCAAGCAGTTCATAAGTACAGCAAAAACCAAGAAGTTTTTTTTAAGAAAATGTCACAGTCACTGATGATAATTTTCTTTGAATCCTGACACATCTGTGTTGGCTAATAAGCACTGTGAACCTTCTTGGTAATCACACCCAAGCAGTTTAAATAAACCGCAAGCCTGCCATGTTAACTTCTCATTGCAGTCAACACCAAATAGATTTTCAGAAAACAATAAAGGAAAGCTAAAATCCAACAAAAACCAAAAAACAAGAAAGAACAGAACAATAATCCGACTGGGGTTTTACCTTAAGATCTGCTTGTCCTTCTGGTACTCTTTAAAATGCTTCCTTCTGGGTTTGCCTGAGGGTTACCTGTTGCATTTGCAAACCTCTATTAAAAATATCGAGAAGTAAATAACTAAAACGTGGACTGCCTGCCAAATTTGCAGCCAAATAACACATGGGTGCTATCGATGAAATAATCCCAATACATTCCTGGTCCTGCAGGGTTCCTACAGCGCAGTACCAGCGACCAATAGCACCAGCAGCAGACCTGAAACTTGTTAGAAATGCAAATTCTCAGGCTCCACTCCAGCCCTACTGAATCAAAATTCTAGAGAAAGGTTAATCAATCTGTGTTTTAAGAAACACTCCAGGGGATTCTGACACATGCTAAAGCTTGAGAACCACTAGTTTTAAGCGAAACCTGCTATTTTTAATGTTCAAAACTTAGCTCCCTTATAGAGCAACCATTATAAGAAAGCATTACACGATGTGATACGATTGGTATATTGTTCATGACAACAACATGCATATGTTTCAGATAAAAAGAAATGAGTTGTATTTTCTTCATGAACTAAACTTTATATGGTATCTGAATATATAAATAGAGGGGTGGAAAAAGATCTGTTTTTAAATTGCTTCAGTTAAAATTTGAAACAAATATATAGCCATTAAAAATACATAGCAAAAAAAATAAATAGCCATATAGTCAGTTAAAATCTGAAATAAATATATAGCCATTAACACAGAGGCAACATTGCAGTCCCGTGTGTCATACTAATATACAGAATGAGACCCATGGTCTGCCACTATTAACAAGCAATTTGAAGACTAGCTATACTATACATCTCATTCACTAATTCTTTCATAAAATAAAATCATGTCACTAAAAAAAAGTGGCCCTCTAAATAAATTATAATTGGAACAAATGTCATTCCTCATCTATTTAATTACCACAACCAGAAGCTCCCCCAGCAATAAAAGGAAATATGGCTTAAGTAGAAGAGCCATAATTTCAAGTTTGCTTTTTATTGGAGTTATAAACTCAAGGTTAATTCTCCAGTCTAAATCCATTTTAAGAACAAGATGAAATATGTTGGAATCATTAGAAAAGCTATCAAAACCTCTGCTGCTCCTTCCATTAGGCTTCGATTTGTGTAAACTCAATACTTTTAGACACAACGGCTATTTAAAGACCATTAATAAAAGGCAGTTCTGGTTTGAGAACTGACGAACAATCTAATCCCTTGTCAAAAACTATATAAAAGTTGATTTGGAAGCAATCTTCTGATTGCTCCTGGAGCCTACCTTTCTACGGGTGCAGGTTTGGAATTCCGCGGCTTCTTCACTTGGGCATACAAAGCATCCATCATATGTCCTTCTCTTGGGCTCTGGGGTCTGGCGTTGAGAGCCATGGGACCTTCATAGGAAGACATTCCCCCGTACATCAACTCATCATCACAGCCAAATGTCCGGTGAAAATCTTGGATTTCAGCATAGTCACGCTCTCGAGCTTGTCGCTCTCTAAATTCTCGAGTTTTGGCTTGAATCCTGTAAAATTAGAACAAAGTTGAAACAAGAGAAACTATGCCTTTTCTAAGAACTGCGTATAGAAACATTCATCAAAATATCTTGTAAAATGCATTTTATTTCATGTAGCTATAAGAGGAACAATGGTATAAATGATGTTATATTCATTTTAGATTGTCAAGGTAATGTCACGGATGCTCAAAAATAATGACTTGAGATAGCTTCTGTTCATGTCAATAAGCTATAGTCACAATTTACATCTTAATTAAAACTGTCACCTATTCACTAGCTTTAATAATTCACCAGGAACAGATAGTTTTAGGCATCTGTTTGGGTTTTACTCATGAATTTTTTTTTTTCCTGAGGAAGATTCACCTTGAGCTAACATCTGTTGCCAATCTTCCTCTTTTTGTATGTGAGCCACTACCACAGCATGGCCACTGACAAACGAGTGGTGTAGGTCCACAGCCAGGAATTGAACTCAGGCCACTGAAGCGGAATGCACCAAACTTAACCACGAGGCCACCAAGGCTGGCCCCTCATAAATTTTTTTTAAGGCAAGGAGTGATCTCTTAAAAGTTACACACACACACACACACACACACACACACACACACACACACAATATACATATACATTTATGTGTGGGTGCATAATATATATATATCTTATTCATTATAAATATATCATACACATTCAACATTCTATAAAGCTTAAACATGAATCCACACCATAATTCTTTATTAATGGCAAAAGAAGGTCTCAGTTTAATGACACCAACTTTGATTTTACGTGATGTATACAGAACTGGCAGATCCTGAGATTAAGGATGAGAAGGCATGTGTCCAATCAAATTCTGAAATAAAACTTGCCTGTTTTATAACAAAGAAAAAATTTTAAACAACCACCTTTGCTGAAGACATGTTTAAATATTCCCTAAGATTTTATTAAGATACTTGGTACAAAGTCCTCTTCAACCTATAATATATTGATATAATTTATGTCCTAAGTTGATCATGGTTATCTAAAAATAATTAACACTTGATAGAATTTTGATGATTTTTGATAAGAAAAATATTTCCATTACATATTTACAAATTTAAATGTTTACTTAAAAGTGAAGTCTTAATTATATAAAGCAATATTTTAGACTGAGTTTAATGTTTCATTGCAAAGTTATTTACTTTTCTCATATTTGAAGTAGACCACTGCTAGCATAAATGACACATAAATAATAAATATATACTCAAAAGAAAAGATACACAAACCATATGAAGACAGTACAAAAAAGAAAACTGCAGGCTAATATCCTCACGAATATAGAAACAAAAATCCTTAAAAAAAATTAGCAAATAGAATTTAACAATATGCAAAAAGAATTATACACATGACCAAGTGATGTTTATTGCAGGAATGCAAGGCTGGTTCAATATCCAAAAATCAATCATAGGCTGGCCCAGTGGCGTAGTGGTTAACTTCACGGCCTCCGCTTCGGTGGCCCGGGGTTCACAAGTTCGGATCCCAGGCACGGACCTACGCACCACTTATTAAGCCATGCTGTGGCATGTGTCCCACATATAAAGTAGAGGAAGATAGGCATGGATGTTAGCCCAGGGCAAATCTTCCTCAGCAAAAAGAGGAGGATTGGCAACAGACGTTAGCTCAGGCCTAATCCTCCTCACAAAAAAAAAAAATCAATCAGTGTAATCCACCATATTAACAAGCTAAAGAAGAAAAATCACATGATCATATCAATTGATGTAGAAAAAGCATCTCACAAAATTCAATACCCATCATGATAGAAGCTCTCAAAAACTACTAATAGAGAGGAACTAACTTCCTAAATTTGATAAAGAGCATCTACAAAAAACCTATTGGTAACATAACACATATCGAAGAAAGACTGCATGCTGTCCCCTAAGATTAGGAAAAAGGTAAGGATGTCTGCTCCCACCACTGTAATTGAACATAGTGCTAGAAATTCTAGGCAAGGCAATAAGCCTAGAAAAGGAAATAAATGGCATATAGATTGGAAAGGAAGAAATAGAACCATTCTTATTTGCAGATGACATGACAGCCTCCATAGCAAACTCTCAACAATTCTCAAAAATCTCCTAGAACTACAAACCAAATTCAGCAAGGTAACAGGATACATCAATATACAAAAATCCACTGTTATTTCTATATGCTGGCAATGAACATGGATGCTGAAATTAAAAATACAATGCCATTTATAATTACTAAAAAAAGGAAATATATAGATAATGATATAAATAAAATAAAGGTTGGTTTATAGACATGTATAAAAATATACAGATTTAAATCTAATAAAATATGTACAGGACTTGTATGCTGAAAACTATACAATGCTGATGAAAGAAATCAAAGAAGATCTAAAAAATGGAGAGACATACTGTGATCATGGATGGAAGACTCAACATAGTAAAGAAGTCAATTCTCCCCAAGTTGATACACAGGTTTAATGTCATTGCTATAAAAACCGCAGCAAGATTCTTGTAGAAATAGACGAGATTATTTTTAAATTTATATGGAAGGCAAAGGATAGAATAGCTAAACAATTGTGAAAAAGAACAATAAAGTGATGGGAGTCACACTTCCTGACTGCAAGATTGTAATATAGCTACAGTAATCAAGACTGTGTGGAATCTGTGAAGGGACAGACACAGATCAATGGAACAGGATAGAGAACCCAGAAATAGCCAACAAGTATGGCCAACTGATTTCTCACAATTGTGCAAAAGCAATTCAATGGAATAAAATAGTCTTTTCAACAAATCAGATATCCATAGGCAAAAACAAAAACACTCAATTTAAATTTCACACCTTATACAAAAATTAACTCTAAATGGATCACAGATTTAAATGTAAAATGTAAAGCTATAAAACTTTAGAATAAAATCTTTAGGACCTAGTGCTCGGTGAAGAATTCTTAGAAATGATACCAAAAGCATGATCCATAAAAGAAAAAACAGATAAATTGGACGTCATCAAAATTAAAGCATTTCCTCTGTGAAAGACTCTATTAAGAGAATGAAAAGACAAGTACAAACTGGGAGAAAATATTTGCAAACCACATATTTGACAAACGACTCATGTCCAGAATATATAAAGAACACTCAAAACTCAACAATGAGAAAACAATCCAATTAGAAGGGCAAAAGATATGAAGCAAAATTTCTCTGAAAAGAATATACAGATGACAAATAAGCACATGAAAAGATGTTCAACATCACCAGCCATTAGGGAAATGCAAATTAAGACCAAAAGGAGCTATCACTACACACCTATTAGATCAGATAAAATAAAAAACAGTGATAATATCAAATGCTGGCAAGGATGCAGGAAAACTGGATCTCTCACACATTGCTGCTGGAAATATAAAATGGTACAGCCACCTTGGAAAACAGTCTGGCAATTTCTTAAAAAACTCAACATACACTCACCATACAACTGACTCCTAGGCATTTATCTCAAAGAAATGAAAACTTAAGTCCATGCAAAAACCTGTACACAACTGTTCATAGACACTTCCTTTCTAATATTCAAAAACTGCAAATAACCAAAATGTCCTACAATAGGCGGCTGGCTAAAGGAACTAAGGTCCATTCTCATGCCGGAGCACTATTCAGCAATACAAAAGAACAGATTATTGATACATACGGCAATTTGAATTGATCTCAAGGGCACTGTGCTATGTGGAAAAAAAGTCAATCTCAAAAAGTCATACACTATAAGATTTCATTTATATAACATTCTCAAAATGACAAAATGATAGACGTGGCAAACACATTAGTGGTTGCTGGAGAACAGCTATGGTGGGAGCAGAGGGGTGGGTGTAACTATAAAGGAGTAGTGTGAGGAAGCCCTCTGTGATGCAATAGTGCTGTTCTCTGACTGCAGAGGTGGTTCTCGGAACTTACACATGTGACAAGACACAGAACTATAGACACACATGGTGCCAATGTCAATTTCCTGGTTTTCACATTGTATTATAGTCCTGTAAGTTGTAACGGTTAGGGGGAATCAGATGAAGGGTACGCAAGACCTCTCTGTACCATCTTTGCAACTTCCTGTAAATCTAAAATTATTTCAAAATAAAAAGCTTTTTTAAAAAAAGCTGGAAAACTGTCACATAGCATTGCAACGAAAATTTGCATTTTTTCCCTTGTTTTTTTCTTTCATCTAGCTTATCACCATCATGCCAGTCTTGTTTTCCAAATTTTGGACCTACCAGGTCACATTTCTCTAGTTTCTCTTATTTCCCAGGCGTAAAATGGAAATACTTAAATTCACCTAGCTCAGCGTTTCTCAACGGAGGTCCAGTGACATTTGAGACAAATTTTTTTTTTATTCCTTATATAAACCAACACTTAACAAAAATAGTTAATAACATGAAAGCCACACGATCTGAGCCACGCCCTCACTGAAGTCCAGGCAAGGAGACAGGGATACATAAGGAGAGGGAGAGGCCACAGCATGGCTCAAGTGCCTGGATGGAGGATGTCTGCAAGGCGTGGGTAGGGGCAGGTGTGGTGGCCAGAGAAGGGGGAGGGTTCCTGAGGCGTGCCCAGGCCCTGGCCCTGACGGCAAGGGTAAGGCAGGGGCCCAGCTCCTCTTGGGCCTGGGTGATGCAGTGGGCATCGGCAGGACTTCTTGCACAACGGGTTCCAGCCACATATCATCAAGCAGTGTCCCCAGCCATTGAGGCAACCAAAAATGCTTCATATATTCCCATAACCTCCCAAGGAGGACCTTATTTCCTGGCTTGAGGACCAATGACTTTCTTAGCTCATAAGAGAATATTAGAAAGTTAGAAATTTTTATCAGCAGAGTCCTAGATTCTAATAAATATAAGTCCCACAAAAGAATAACCATAACAGAAACAGCAACGCAAATTCTAATGTCAAATTTAGCTAAATTTATACTAATTTTTTATTATAATCTACTGATTCATTTAGGAGCAATTATCACAGTCAAGGATGTTATTATAAAAGCCGATT